CAATTGTGCTGAGGACATGTGCTCGAGAGTTGGCACCGGTTTTAACGCGTCTTTTCCGGTACTCCTACTCCCTAGGCGTAGTCCCAAAATCATGGAAGACGGCTTTCGTCCACCCGATCCCTAAAACGGCGACCGCTCAGACCCGTCCAACTACCGGCCTATCGCCATCACCTCCTTGTTCTCCAAAACAATGGAGTCCATTGTAAACTGCCAGCTCATGAAATACCTTGAGGATTACCAGCTGATTAGTGACCGCCAATACGGTTTTCGCCGTGGTCGCTCAGCTGGTGATCTTCTGGTCTACCTAACTCACAGATGGGCGGAGGCAGTAGAGTCCAAGGGGACATTGGCCGTTAGTTTGGACATTGCGAATGCCTTCGATCGGGTTTGGCACAAAGCGCTTCTTTCGAAGCTCCCTTCCTATGGGCTTCCCGAGAAATTGTGCGATTGGATCACCAGCTTTATTGCAGATCGGGGCATCAAGGTCGTTGTAGATGGTGCAAGCTCCGATTGCAAGCCTATTAACGCTGGTGTTCCACAAGGCTGCGTGCTAACGCCAACGCTGTTTCTTCTGCATATTGTGGCGGCCCAATATTATTATTAATAATTAAATTCAATATAAAGGGACGTCAAAAATAGTCTTCAAAGATATATATTAAGCAATTAAGTTAAATTAATAAACATAAAGTTAATATATTTCTGACATTATCCCAATAACATAGTAAATTAAAGGCAAAATTATTGTTTTTCGTAATAAATAAATTTATTTAAAAACTTGAAAAAAATATTTAAAATAAGATAAATAATAGAAATACAAGTCAAAAAATATTATAAAATTAAGTTAAATAACGTTTATAAGATAATTAGAAAATTTGTTAAAAATTGTTTAAGTCATGGGAGGTGTTCGTGTATAAAAGAAAATTTTTCTAAGTTGTGGAAGGAGTTCACGTATAGATGAAATTTCTTTTGTTGAAGGAGTTCATGTATTAAAGAAAATTTTCCTAAGTTATGGAAGGTGTTCACGTATAGACGTCTTGTATGGAGGAAGCTGCCGGAGGTACATACCTGCAGTTGTACATATATATGGGGTGGTCGGGAGCCCGACTGCCTGAAGTACTGTAGCACAATGACTAGTGCTATATTAGGGACTTATGATATTAAACTCAATGATACAAAAGCAATACTATAGAAGGTCTCCATGATGAATTTGCATTACAATAGTAGGGTCGTGGGTTCGAACCCTATATATTAATGACTTATGAAAGTAAGGTCTATGATCCAAAAGCAATACTATAGAAGGTCTCTATGATTAATATGCATTACAATAGTAGGGTCGTGGGTTCGAATCCTATATATGAATGACTTATGAAAGTAAGGTCTATGATACAAAAGCAATACTATAGAAGGTCTCCATGATGAATTTGCATTACAATAGTAGGGTCGTGGGTTCGAACCCTATATATTAATGACTTATGAAAGTAAGGTCTATGATCCAAAAGCAATACTATAGAAGGTCTCTATGATTAATATGCATTACAATAGTAGGGTTGTGGGTTCGAATCCTATATATATACATGACTTATGAAAGTAAGGTCTATGATACAAAAGCAATATTATAGGAGGTCTCCTTGATGCATAAGCATTGTATGGGGTGGTCGGGTGACTGACTGCTCCTAGTACTGTAGCAAAATGACTAGTCCATATTAGGGACTTGAAAAGGAATATTATGGTGGCGTGTGTGCTGCTTCACGAGCAATTGGTCCGAGGTAAACTTGGACTCGCTAACCGATGTGTCCTAGACATATCATCTTAGTGCTGGTGGTAAGCGGGTTTGTTGTAGCAATACGGCTTTCCCGTGGACATCGCACACCCATACCGTTTGTGGGCGACGTAGTAGCGCATAGCGATGCGTCGTCTATATTTCGGATTGGGATGATGAGTGTGTTTGGTAGCACTTTTAAGTGTAACAGGCATACTCAACTTCATGTCTTAGTGCATTAGCGCTATGATACATGGAGTTCTGTTCATTGGCGTCTTAGTAGCGTGCTACTATGATACGTTGGTGATATTTTTTATATAACAACAATACAAACTTTGTTACCAAAATCGATAGGAGTCATGTGGGTGTGTTGTGAGGGGGCGCCACCCGTATGATAGTTGCATTGATGCTTACTGCTACTTGCGGTATTGCGTCTTGTGATGGATCTGCGGGTGTGCTGCGCCTGATTCGACGCATTCTTGTGGTTCTGGTCGATGGAGGTATACAATTAACATCTTAGTGCCGGTGGTAAGCGGGTTTGTTGTAGCAATACGGCTTTCCCGTGGACATCGCACACCCATACCGTTTGTGGGCGACGTCGTTGCGCATAGCGATGTGGCGTCTATCTTTCGGATTGGGATGATGAGTGTGTTTAGTAGCACTTTTAAGTGTAGCAGGCATACTCAACTTCATGTCTTAGTGCATTAACGCTATGATACGTGGAGTTTTGTTCATTGGCGTCTTAGTAGCGTGCTACTATGATACGTTGGTGATATTTTTTATATAACAACAATACAAACTTTGTTACCAAAGTCGATAGGGATCATGTGGGTGTGTTGTGAGGGGGCGCCACCCGTATGATAGTTGCATTGATGCTTACTGCTACTTGCGGTATTGCGTCTTGTGATGGATCTGCGGATGTGCTGCGCCTGATTCGACGCACTCTTGTGGTTCTGGTCGATGGAGGTATGCGGGTGGTGATGTCTGCTGGGATGTATGGGGGACCTTGTGATGGTGTAAGCCCGACGATAGTCGTATTGATGTTTGTTGCGCTCTGCAGCATTGCGTCTCTACGATGGTTGTTTGGTGGGACGCTATTCTCAATGGCGCTCTCTGCGTCTTGGTTTGACTCACGCCTGAGTAGCTTTGCCCAAGTCGGGTCTATTCGGGGAATTAGCGTTCCCTTCGGGGGGAAGTGCATCAAAATGGTTGGCGCTCACCGTGCACGGCGTGTGTGGGGCCGTGTACCTCCCCTACATTTTTTTTTAAATAAATGTAGGAGAGCGAAGCCCTTGTATCGGGTATTTTTGTATAAATATATTGTGAGCCTTTTCCAAGAGGGAAGGGATAAATAATAATAAATTAATAATGTCAACCTGATACAAGTGGAATAAAGACGTTTTACGTTCTTAACCTTTCTCGAGCCCTGTCTTCGTGAACGGGGTTCACTTAGCTTATAAGGCACTACCAACAGCTTTCAATTGCTCTAGTGAATATTCATTCTTCCAAAGGACACCTAAAAGAACTAAGTTACTAAACAAACACAACGTAAATAAGGGTCCTAACTAAGACGATCACGCCAAAATATTACAAACGGCCTATTATTAAACCTTTAGAAAGATCATTTAGAAAGATCTAAACATAATTTATTAATCCTGGTCACATATATATAATTTTTATTATAAAGGGGAATTAATTATATTTAATCTAATATATTTATTATTATGAGGGGGGAAGCGTTACAATATCAATGATATGTTGCAAACCCGTAACATTCATTGCTAGAGATGACAGCACTGGTGATGCTCTTTACACCGGCCGAGCCAATATTTCTCGGGAAAACGTCTCCGAGTGCCGGGACAAACTTGTGTCTGAAGTCGATTCTTGGGGCTGAACAGAGTCTCGGATTGGGGGCGACTAAATCTAGTCCAGTTTAACCCCCAGAAGACACAAGTTTGCGCGTTAACCGCTAAAAAGAACCCCTTTGTCGTATCTCCTCAGTTTCAAGGCACTCCTCTTGTTGCCTCAGCCAGTATCGGAATCCTCGGCGTCGACATATCGAGTGACGTGCTGTTTCGTGGTCACTTGGAAGAGAAGGCCAAATTGGCCTCTAAAAAGCTTGGCGTGCTCAGCAAAGCGGTACAGTATTTCATGCCGGCAAACCGCCTGCAACTTTACAAGGCGCAGGTTCGGCCGCACATGGAATACTGTTCCCATCTCTGGGCTGGGGCTCCCCAGTACCAGCTCCTTCCTCTTGACCGCATCCAGCGCAGAGCGGCTCGAATCGTCGACGACCGAGTGCTTTCCGATCGGCTCGATTCACTGGCACTGCGAAGAGATGTTGCATCTCTTTGCATTTTTTTTCGCATATACCATGGAGAGTGCTCTTAGGAATCGTTCGGATTAATCCCAGCCGCCAAATTTCATGAACGCACTACGCGGCAAACGTCCCGATACCATCCATACCATCTGGATGCTTGGCGGTCCACCACTGTACATTTCAAGAGGAGTTTTCTTCCGCGTACAACCTCTCTGTGGAATAGTTTACCACTAGCGATTTTTCCGGACCGATACGACCTGGGGACCTTCAAGAATAGAGCTTACTCCTTTCTAAAGGGCCGGCAACGCACCTGCAGTTCCCCTGGTGTTGCGGTTGATCATGGGCGGCGGTAGTCACTTAACATCAGGTGAGTCGCATGCTCGTTTGCCCCCTCTTCTATAAAAAAAGTCACAGATAGCTCTTAGCCATGAGGACACCACAAAGGCGAAGAAAAATAAAAATCAACCCCATGCTTACCAAGTCCTTTGCCCAGTCTTATATATCGGGTGTCCCATTAAGAATTGATAATCCTGGAGCGCCTAATAGTACAGGTATCAGTGGTGTATATGAAAATACAGTAAGGTCAATAAAAACGTATTTTTTAAAACCTTCATATTTTTGACACCACTCAGAATATATATATTTGTATTTTGATATCTGTACTATTATGTGCTCCAGGATTATCCATTCTTTCCGGGACACTGTGTACAATCTTCTCAATAAATACATTTATTTTTTTTTTATTTTTTGATGAGTTTATTGACGAAGAAAATAACAATGTGGGAACAAAAACAAGGCAACTCTGCATTAAAAAGTATTGGAATAAAACACAAACAAACAAAAAAATGATCTATTTAACAATAAAATATCTTTCTGTTACAATCAAAACATTGTGTATCTATGGAACAAAACTAAAGACAACTATTTAAAATTAAAGCCTGTCTCAAAATGTACCGGACAAACTTTGGGGTCCATAGAATCACACGTGCACATTGAATTCACAAGTTTACTTTCGATATTACCTACAAGCATTTTAACGTGACAAATTGGAACCATTTCACAATTACAGTTTTGTGATTTAATACCGTATGCCATCACTTCGTCACTATCTAACAGTATTTTATCCTTCAAATGGTTTGCGACTTTATCTACAGGCGAATTGAAATAGCTACAAAGCTGGTCATGGGTATTAATATACTCATTATTTGTTTGACAACAAGGAGAAGATTCACAGTCGTCCCATTCATCATAACTCAAATTAACTGGTTCGTTATTTGAGTAAATATGTGACGTATTTGTGGTGTCATGGATAACATTATGTAAACATTGTTTCGAACTTTTTAACTCAACGTTTTCGTCAGTTAAATGAGCGTATATTCCTTTATCAAGCTTAATATAATCATCTTGTTTCTCATACTGTAATTTATTTGATTTATTAACATTTTTCATTATATAAGAAATATTTGTATGTGACTTGTCTTTCCGCAAATTATTTATCATTATTTTATTCTCATCAAATAAAGATTTGGCACAAATACATGTACCAAGGTTTGGATCACATGAACAATTTATTGTATAACCGATGTAAGGTATAGAAGAACATATAAATTTGTTGTATTTTAAATTATTATCGCTTATTTTTTCTTTAAATATCGATGACTTACTTGTATTGTTATTAATATTATTATTCGCATTTTGGACATCCATTAAATTTAAAGCATTATATTTGAAAACATCTTCATTATTAACCTTATTTAATTCTTCTATTTGATCCATATGCGTAGTAAGTGTAACGGTTTGCTTGCTAGATTTATTTATTTCACCAGGTTTAATTATTGTAACAGCATTTGGTACTTCGTGATAAAAATTATTTTCTTTCGAGGGGTTGTTTAGTTCTATATTGTACGTAGATATATTTTTGTTAATTACAGTATCAAAAACAGGAATTACTTCACTTATAAGATCTGCAGTTACTTGGCAAAGATTATTTATCCGTGCATCATTAAAAGATTGAAGACTATCCATCTTTATTTTATTATTGCAGAATTTCAATGTATTGTTATGATTATAGATTTTTTTCAATTGTCTAAAGTCGTATTCAATCAACTCGCATATATTTTCTAAGATTTCGTGTACTACTTTATCAGAGTTTTTAACATTGATAGAACAAGAGCACTTAATTTTTTTTATTTTAGATCTTAGATATTCTTGTAATAGTCCACAAGCTCTTCTCCAACTTATTTCACTTTTATCAATTTGACTATCTTTTAAACATTTACATGTTATTTCAGTAGATTTTTCCAAAATTATTTCCTTTATTCGTTTAAGTATATCAGAATATAAAATGTCTTCCTTTAAAGGTAGGTTAGCAGAAATTGAAGTAGATAATTTAATGTCCTCCAACTTTTTCTTGAAATACTCTATTAACAGTTCAAAAGTATTTATTTCTAAGTCGTTACTTTCATCTTCGTCATTTTTATTACAACAGGTGCATTCATTATTGTTATCAAACGATTTTATCGACCTATTATAAATATCATACGTTACGTTGTTAAGCTCTTTAAAATTATTATAACTATCATAATTTAATTTTGTTTTGTTTTCATTGTACAGATTAACGTTGTTAATTTGGGTATTCTCCGCTTTTAAACAGTTTTTATTACTTAATAGGTTATTTGTGATATCACAACTAGTACGATTACTTGTGTCATTGTTTAGGGTAACTCCCAAGAATTTTACATTATAATGTGAGTCAGGAAGTTTAAACTTGTTATATTTATTAACAGTTGCTAATGAACAATTAGTACCCAAATTAGGTTTCTCTAAACAACACTGTATGCTTATTTCCGTATCACAAATTAAATTTTCGATACTAGTATGTTTACAACTATGATCATGACTAGGATTTTCTTTAGTATATAAGTAACTTTTATCATCAAACTTCATATCATGTCCTTCATTTATTTTATTGCTTGAAACTTGTGTGTTATGATTCCTATATAATTTATTTTCCTTTTCGGTATTTGAATGAGGAACATTATCTGTAATATTATCTTTTGTACGTGCTTTAGCATCGATACTTTTTGTAATATCTGGACTTTCAAATAATTCATTACCTTTTTGAAAATTTATAATACCTACGTAATTTGACTTACTATATGTAGGTTGAATTTTTTTCGAGTAAATTGTAAGTATTTCCTCAGTAGAATTTGGCATTAATATATTTTTATCATTTGCTTGAGCTAGGTCATAATTAAGAAGAATTTCGCTATTTTGAGTTACACTTCTACGAATAGATACATGCTTAGCGTCCTGGGGTACCACATCTTTTGAGTTTCTTTTATCAACTAAACAAGAATCTTCTCTTCTAAAAGTTTCTAATAGTTCTTCAATGGATCTATTTGAAGGTATTTTATGAAAACAAACACATTCACTCGAGCAACGTAGATCATAAAAAATTTTTGATTGTGTATTTAATATCTCATAAGATTGTTTACCAGATTTTGCTAATTCAGTATTAGACAGTTTTTTTAATGGTCTTGAAAGAGACAGATTATCGTTGTAGCTGTCGTAACTCCTGTGTGACATATTTTTGTTTTTCTTAAAATTATATTTTTCCGATAAAACATTTTGGCGGTCTCTTTGTGAACCACATAGACATAAATTGACTGCGAAAGACTGACCTGATCTTTTGCTTGATCTTTTATTAGAATATTTACCAGGAAAACTGCGATTAAAATTTAATTTGTTTGTATCTCTAATGAAAACGATATTTTCGGCTTGCTTTTTAATTAATGGACTAAACTTTATGTTACATAAAGTTGCATTCCTATCTGTACTTACTGCTCTGTGATTAACAATTTGTTTCGCACTTAAATCCTTTCTATCTTTTTTGGTTTCTCTTGCAATACTACGTTTATCTCGGCTCTGAAACCACAGAATATTTTATTACAATAAATACTGCGTAAAAAACTAGAACCACTGACAGAACACCGTCATAAGTGTAAAATAAAATAAATATAGAATATCTTTATTCAATATAGATTATTACTAGTGATCGGCGTACTGACTTGTTTCTGATGATGTTAATGCTGTTAGCCTTTTGCCTTTTACAGCTTTATAGGACTCAGTAAAAAGAATTTAAATCATTCCACATCGTTACTTGCGTAACGATGACTCCTATGACAGTATACAGTACACGTGGATGAGTTATCTAGTGACCGTCTGAACAGGGGTGGCGGGCCTCTGATGGCTAACTCGTGTCATTCGATGAAGTAGTCGGCTTAGGTAGTGCTATTTTAAGTCAATTAACTTGAATGATGATGTTAATATGGGCTTGTCCCGGGATTCCGGGTAATGTTTAAAATATCATGTTCTCATCTCATTTATGGTATAAGTAAGGCCCAATGCAGTGCTCTTTGCCATACTACTGGTTAATAGGTGAGATCTTATAATACTGGAAATGGGTAGCTTGATATGTCGTCGTGAGTACAACTACAACGACTTTTCGATAACTATGAATGTGAAACAAATTCTTATGTTACAAATCATAAGAAAGCACTTTGTGTGTAGTTCGTTTGCTCATAAGTAGTATAAAAGTTGAGAAACTTAATTTTCTTATTATATCTCAATAAGCACCATTTATTATTATTATAATTTGTGAAATATAAAGATTATTATTATTAATTAATAGAAATCAAATCAAAACAATAGGCAAAAATATATTTTGTCCCAGGTGTGACATATTTAGTTTTAATAGATTTGGAGTAAAAAAATCGTAAAGTGTAATTTTAAGTTGAGTGAACCAGCTTTTATTATATACAGATGGAATGTTAAACTAATGTCGAAAATCGCAAGCGCAATGTAAAGGGATGATTTTAGTGACCATTAAAATATGTGCATAAAGCTGAGTAGGTATGCCAAATACGAATTCCCAAAATAGTTGTCAATAAAAAAATCGCTTTAATAAAATAAATAAATAATATATTCACGGGATTCATAAGGCACATCCATGTCAAGAGAACGGTCACAAAATCCCGGGAATACTACTACCTACGATGATCACTTATTATTACATAAAACTTATATAATACGTTTTTACGAGTGGTAAAAAGTATTACATAAGTAACCAAATACCTTTGTCTTGAGAAGAACAAGCAAGAAACCTAGCGGGACTTTTTTTAAACATTTTTGCGTAAATAAGTGGTAATTTTTTTATTAACTATATAATGTGTTGCTTACATCCTTTCATTATTCACCTCATGATTCATGTGAGAATAGCCTAGGATATATTTATTCCAAGAGGGACCCTTTGTCTTATAAACATAAAGTTGGGACAAAATCAGTTCAAACCTAATTTATCCGAACCTAAATAATACCGTTTTTTTTTTTTAAATTATGTATAATATTTTTAAGAAATATAAAACAGTAATTGGTGGTAGATTCATTCCAAGCAATTCGATAAGATTACATCTGAGCTACAAGAAATTTGGAACAAAAAGTTATTAACAATCTGATGCTGTCGTCCACTGCGGAGACTCCAGTTTTGCACTCGCGCACTTATCTTTGAGTTTGACTCTCAGAATTGCCGCCGTGACGGAAATTCGGTCTAGAGGATATTATTATTTGGAACAATATTTAATATAAAATAAATTAAAAGCTTTTGTATTCCATATACATATACCACGGAAGATAAAATTGTCTTGTAGTAGTTTCAATGATTGAAGTCAAATTTACAAATGTTTTTGCCGTATTATGTATTTATAGATTGGTGGAAACATTTCGAGTAGTATTATTATTTTACCTTACTGCTAGTTTTGATGATTAGTCTTGATTTTCCACATTCACAGTCAATACACAGGTTAAAAAAATCCGTCGTTTGATTTCAATCATCAGTACTTTCTTCAATCAACAATACTTTACGCAACCAGCAATTAAAATATGTGAATCTCTTGGAATTTTGATTGGCATGATATTACCGTTTACTCTAGTTGATGGATTTCGAGGTATTGTGTCAATGTATTTTTTTAAATAACAATGATACCCAGGATGAAATCAAGGTAAACTAACTAGAATTGTTCACGATTGACAAACGGCTACTACACTTAGTAAAGAAAGAATATTGGTGCAGGAAATATTCTGCCGCGCTTCTGAAATGCCTATTGGTGGACTTCACGTGTCGTGATTTAGTTTTCCTTAGCTTAGAGCTCGTGGTAAATTAACACTGCAATAAATTTAACAATTACATCTGTACCGTTGATGTCTGGATTCGTATCACTGAACCACTGAACTTAAAAGGCATATATCCTCTAAGTTACAACGGCATCGACATATTTTTATTGTTGTATACTCAGAAAATTGGAATCAAACGAGCATTATGAAGTCTTAAGACATTTCCAGAAAGTTATGTATAAATAAATACAGTTGTACCGATAATAAAACTGCAAATGTATTTAAATAATGACTCAGAATATAAGATATTATTTTTAGCATAATTAATGTTTGAAAACATTTATATAATATCTATAATTCTTTTAAGTCCTTACTTTTCAGTAACTTACCCATGATCGATAGCCCAACTTATTGTTTTTGTCATTTGTGGGTTTCAAGCACATTCCTTTGATGGGTTGCTGTAAATGAAATGTGTTAAAGCACGTAGAAAAAGGTAAATGTAATGCTGCAAATATAAATTATATGTTCACGTACCATTTTAGAGTCCTCCACCTGAAGATGAAGCTGTGTGGAGTTCCTAAAAGTATTTTCTTTTGCAGATGATTTAGCTTTTTCTACAGTATTTTGTCGATTAGTATATTTTTCTGTGGGGGTCGTTAAAATGCATGAGTACGTAGAAACTGTTTGAAAGAAATATTTAAAAATGATGAGTCATCTCAAAAAATAAAAAGTGTATTTTTTATATCTCTTCCATGCAACATCTCGTCTATGAAGGTGCGTAGTCTCCTGATTTTATAGGTAAGATACCCAGTATTATTTATTGCAGGCTAAGGTTCCTAAGAACTGGGTTCTCCGTCTTATTTTTCAGGGGTACATGCTTTTCTAGCCTTCTGCACTCTCTGCGCTCTCACTTACTTTAAGAAACGAGCTTACTCTTTTTTTAATAGGCCGGAAGCACTCCTGCAATTCCCCTGGTGTTGTAGTTGTTCATGGGGTAACCGGCGCCCACTTAACATCAGATGAGCCGCATGCTAGTTTGCCCAAACTTCTATAAAAAAACCTACTAACAAAAGGACTTTGATCACTTTACAACATACCTACGTACTACACTACATATCACTACACATTACCTACTCTTAAACTATTTTAAAACAGTTACCAATTTGTCAGACAGTTTCCAACTAAAAAGTATCATTTTTGTCTGTATCAATCAAGATTTCTAATATTATTTTTACTGTTCTAATATTATTTCTATTTTTTATATTATTTCTATTTTTTTCATATATATTTGTGTTGTGTTAATAAACAGATGCAACTTATTCCGCTTTATCATTTAATATTCGACAAAACATTTAAACAACTAAATTTACACTAAAATAAACACTTTGAACATCGAACACAAATTAATACTCCATACCTGATGTTGTTTTATCACAATCACACGGTGGCGGTGCTGGCTTTACGACATCTTTAGCTTTCTGCATTATTAACTCAGCCCTCTCTTGAAATAATTGCTCAGCCAATTGCGTCGCAAGTTTTTGAGCCTGTTTTTCCACGTTTCGTTGCTGCCATTCTTCGACATCGTTTTCATTTGGATTTCTTGATAAATCTTCATTCACACAGGAAGAACCTATCCACTATATTGAGAAATTTTAAATTTGTAACTAAGACGGGATATAAAGCATTATAAACAATTCCCACTTTATATTATTAATTGTTAAACTACCTTCGCGTGATATTTTTCGATCGACGAAGCGATTGCAATATCTAATTCGCCAATAAGCAATTGTGAAAAGAAAGTGCGAAGATTAGTTTTAACTGCGCTGGAATGGTCCCAGTTATGTTTGTCTTCTAAGCACTTTAGCAACTGGCATGGCATTTTTGGTCCAGTATCACCCAACTCGGATTGCAAACCTCCGAAGAGGTCTTTAAGCAAGTTTGACATTAAACTACTTCGAAGAGACGTGCACGAACATGAATCCTGTAAATTTAAATAATTATATAAAAATGATTAAAATTGTATATTTTGTTATTTACTAATAATTGTTCAATTGATTATTAAGTATATCGTTAAAATAATATCCGTGTAGTGGCGGTTAAGAATATCCACTACCCCATATCTTCCCGTGGGTGTCGTAAGAGGCGACAGAGGGAGACAGGCAGGAGATGGGCAGCAGCGTCTTCCTGATGACAACTGTGACGTAATAAAAAACTGCGGTTGCCAACCCGCTCGCCAAGCGTGGCAACTATGGCAAATACCCCCCAATGAATAAATACACAAACAGACGGCCCCCAGTCCCCGGCGGCCCCGCTATTCCTGGCTACGGTGGCGACCATGGTAACGGCGGGGCAGGGGGTGCTAAGAATCTCCGGTGGAGGTTCGGTTGCCACCTACGACGACTCGACCTGGCAACATATAACGCACGCACCCTGAGGACTGACGAGAAGATACTGGAGCTGGAAGAAGAGGTAGACAAGTTGCGCTGGCATATTATTGGATTATCCGAGGTCCGAAGAGAGGGGGAGGACACGGCAATCCTCGAGTCCGGCAACTTGTTCTATCACCGGGAGGGCGACCATCTGTCCCAAGGAGGTGTCGGATTTATCGTCCACAAATCTCTCGTCAACAACGTTGTAAAGATTGGGAGTGTGTCGACGAGGGTCGCGTACCTGATACTCAGAATCACCAAACGGTATTCGCTGAAGGTCATTCAGGTTTACGCACCAACCTCGGCACATCCCGATGAGGAGGTGGAGGAAATGTATGAGGATATTTCCAGAGCCATACATTCCTCCAAAACCTACTACACGGTGTTGATGGGAGACTTCAACGCAAAACTGGGCACAAGAGAAAGCGGTGAGCTGAAGGTAGGGAAATTTGGAGTAGGGCAACGGAACCGAAGGGGCCAGCAGCTGGCCGACTTTATGGAGAAAGAGGGACTCTTTATGATGAACTCTTTCTTCCAGAAGCGGCCCCACAGGAAGTGGACCTGGTCGAGCCCCGACGGTTCGACAAAAAATGAGATTGACTTCATTATGACGACCAGACGCCAACTGTTCAGTGATGTCTCAGTGATCGCAAGGGTGAAAACTGGCAGCGATCACCGAATGGTTAGAGGCACACTGAACCTAAACGTTAAGTTGGAGAGGTCTCGTCTAATGAAGTCAACGCTCCGTCCCCCCTCGTGCTCTAATCCAGAATCCCGAAACCTTTCAGCTCGAATTACGTAACCGCTTCCAGTGCCTAGAAGATTGCAATGCAGTGGACGATATAAACGACAAGCTCGTGGAAACTGTCCATGCGGTCGGAGCTAAGTTCTGCAAGACCCGCCGCAGAAGAACACAAAAACTCTCCGATCACACTCTTAATCTCATGGCTGTTAGACGGGAGATGAGGCTGCAATCGTCAACAGATTTGACAGCATACAGGCAACTGAACAGACAGATCTCCAAATGCATACGGCGAGACTTACGCAACTTTAATACTTCTCGTATTAAAGAAGCGATCGAGCGGAACCAGGGCTCCAAAGTCTTTGCCAGAGATCTGTCTGCCAGAAAGAGCCAACTGTCAAGGCTGAAGACTGAGTGTGGCAACATCGTTTCCGGGACACCTGAGATTTTGAGTGAGATTGAGAGGTTCTATGGGCAGCTGTACACATCATCGTTGGAGCCACACGCAAGTGTGAGTAACGATCCAAGAGCAAGTCTTATCCGACACTATTCCGATGATATCCCGGACGTCAGTCTAAGCGAGATTAGAATGGCTCTCCAGCACCTTAAAAACGGCAGGGCCCCAGGCGAGGATGGAATTACAGCGGAGCTTCTGAAAGCGGGTGGAACACCGGTACTTGAAGTCCTTCAGAAGCTCTTCAATTCCGTCCTCCATGGTGGCACTACTCCAGAGGCGTGGAGCAGAAGTGCGGTGGTCTTGTTCTTTAAGAAAGGCGACAACGCTCTCTTAAAGAACTACAGACCGATTTCCCTTCTGAGCCGCGTCTACGTGCTGTTTTCGAGAGTCATTACGAATCGTCTCGCACGCAGACTTGACGACTTCCAGCCTCCCGAACAAGCCGGTTTCCGAAAAGGCTTCAGTACCATAGACCACATACATACCCTGCGGCATATTGTACAGAAGACTGAAGAGTACAATCTGCCACTTTGCCTGGCGTATGTGGACTATGAGAAAGCCTTTGATTCCGTCGAAATTTGGGCGGTGCTACAGTCCCTTCAGCGGTGCCAAGTTGACTGTCGGTATATCGAAGTGCTGAAGTGTTTGTACAGTAGGGCTACGATGGCTATCCGAGTACAGAACCAGAGCTCGAAACCTATCCAACTGCAGAGAGGTGTAAGACAGGGTGACGTTATATCCCCGAAACTCTTCACCGCTGCATTGGAAGACGTTTTCAAGCTACTGGACTGGAAAGGATACGGTATTGACATCAATGGCGAGTACATCACTCACCTTCGATTTGCCGACGATATAGTCCTTATGGCAGAATCGCTGGAGGACTTAAGCACTATGCTCAATGACCTCAATAGTGCCTCCCAACGGATAGGTCTTAAGATGAACATGGACAAAACAAAGATCATGTTCAATGTCCATGTCACACCTATGCCGGTAGTTGTTGGGAGCACTATGCTCGAAGTTGTTGACGAATACGTTTACCTGGGACAAATAGTCCGACTAGGTAAGTCCAACTTCGACCGAGAGGTCAATCGACGGATTCAACTCGGCTGGGCAGCGTTCGGGAAATTACGGCATATCTTTTCGTCAGGTATACCTCAATCTCTAAAAACTAGATTGTACAACCAGTGCGTGTTGCCAGTGATGACTTACGGATCTGAGACGTGGTCCTTCACTGCTGGCCGTATGAGGACGCTTAAGGTCGCTCAGCGAGCTATGGAGAGGGCTATGCTCGGAGTTTCTCTGCGTGATAGACTCAGAAATGAGGATATCCGCAGTAAAACCAGAGTGACCGACATAGCCCAACGGATTAGTAAGCTGAAGTGGCAATGGGCCGGCCATATAGCTCGAAGAACCGATAACCGATGGGGAAGAAAGGTTCTCGAGTGGCAGCCTCGTACCGGTAGGCGTAGTGTAGGGCGACCCCCCACTAGATGGAGTGACGACCTGGTAAGACATGCAGGAAGTCGATGGATGCAGGTGGCTCAGGACCGTGCTTTGTGGCATTACTTGGGGGAGGCCTATGTTCAGCAGTGGACTTGTGAAGGGCTGTAATGATGATGAATGATGATGATAAAATAATATAAAAAATAGAACTTTTTCCTGCTATTATGTCTACATAAAACTTAAACACAAAAAACCTGCAGATCTTTAATGTATAGCGGTCTTTGGGCAAATTGTTCAGTCATCAAAAAACTATTGTAAATCTGTTTAAAATTAAAATTGAAAATCTATTAATTTTATGTGAAAAAGGTAAAGGTTAGTTGGAGCGGAGCTCCCATGGTGCAAGAAAACGATTCTTTAAAATCTATCTCCTCCGTAACCCGTAGGCCAATTTACATAATTTTTCGGCAATATATATAGCTCAACGCAGGACAAGGTTTGTAAACAATAAAAATCTGAATTTGATTTTTTTTTCTTTTACTATCCAATCAATTCGCTAATTTACATCTGTGCAATATCACACCATTTGATTGAAGCTTTTGTTGAAATAAAGATAGTTATGACTTTAGACTTTTATTCCGCATCTTTGCACCTGCATCTTTCATCACATTATTTCCGTAGCATAACGTTATACGGAATCTTGCTGTGAGGTAATGCGACTGACATTGAAATTACCTTTGTTTTGCAGAAGAGAGCCATAAGAGCAATTTAAAAAAGAAAAATTTAAAGAAATAAATATATTAACTTTGGCTTCCCAATATATTTACGAAAATGATTATATAAACAAAAATATTTTATTAAAAATAGTAACGTACATTCTGTACATACTAGGATCAAGCACAAGTTAGTTTGTAATTTTGTTACTATATTATCTATATATTACGTCTTGTGCTGAAATTGCTTTTACAAAAAGAACATAAGGACATTTCTCATTTTGATACAAATGTAGGCTGAAAAGAAGATATTCTTTGTAACCATCTCCAACGGCGCTTATTATTTAATAAAATAATGGCTTATGATCACTCTGAGTTGGTTCTACGACTGATAACCTGCTGTACATACATGATATACAGCAGGTTATCAGTCGTAGAACCAATCAATAGTTTTTGTACCTATGTAGATCTTTCCAAGAAAGACTAAGGTCTTTCCAAGAAAAACTAAGGTCTTTCCTAAAAAGAATCACCACCTTATCCTTCAAAAAACATAATTTTGTTGCACAAAATATTAAAGTCGAATTTATATTAAAACTTAAAATGATAAAAAATAAAGCGCAAGAACGTTAAAGTGTAAAATGTGAAAAACTTTTTTGTATCCCCTATTGTTAATGAGAAAAATCATCAAAATTCAGTTATTTAATTAGTTTTTCGATTCCACAAAAAACTTTAATATTTTCCGGGTCAATTATATTATTATTACTCCTCGCAGTGTACTCTTTCTGTTCCTGAAATTTAGTCACAATCAGTTTAGCCACTCCGAAGATTAGGCTGAACAGATAGACAGACTCACAAACATTTTTAAAATTGTTGTTCATGTCTTAGTAGCATAGCATGCAAATAAACCCCAGAGCTTTTAATAGATAGCACTTAATTTTAATAAAAAGATTATCTGATTCTATTATGACAACCACTGAACTCATCCAGAGACTGACACAGAGTAACATGTAATAATTTTTACCAGTATTTCATTTTCAGATGTACATCGGCATATAGCGGCAAGGGAAGGTGTTCGCTTTGCTTCCACGCTATTATCTTGAGGTATCTTACAGCGACAATCTAATATATTTTCTCTTATATCAGCAAGCTGCTTCTTTTTGGTTTTAAGCTCTTCCATTTTGCCTTGCATATGACTATCACACGTAATTTTACAGTCATCTAGATCTTCAATAACTTTCATTTTTTTCTGATTTAATTCTGCAAGCTGGAATTAACAATCCTCATTACGGATATATAATATATTTTTAAGAAAAGGAATATTATTTCGTCATGAGTCTACCCGTCAAGCTGTGAAGTGGGGGGAGAGAGCATAAGAAAATCCACTACACCGTAATATCATTCCGTGGATGTCATAAGAGACTGAGGGAAACTGAAACAGGAGATAGACAGCAAAATCTTAGAAATAAAAGTTCAAAATGATGCGATCCCCAATGCCCCTGCCCCAATCATGGCAACTATGGCTTATAGGGGTTCCTATGAGGCAATCTATGGGGGATACCTTTATCTAACAGTGGACTTTTGAAAAACTGTAATAAAGGAATGAATAAAATATTCATGACAGGCAGCAACGGCAACACCAAATAAAATGAAGTATGAAAATCAAACAGCAAGCAGCCTCTTCGTACCATAACTTTCTTTACTTTTAGGGGGTTGAATAAAACTATTATTTACGGATTTTATGGCGTTTAATTACTTTAATTTATTTTTATTACTATCCCGACGTTTCAGGTGCTTTACAGCACCCATGGTCACGGGGGGGGGGACTGAGATGTTTGACGTCCCAATGTCATAGTTAGTCCGGCTACCCTCAGTTTTTTTTTTAATATTAATTTTTGGTCCGATTTACGCAAAACGAGCTTATAGTATCATGAAGTCTTGCAGTGGTATGCTTGGGTTTGGGTTTAATTTTGTTAATTATAGGATCCCAAGCAGATGGTAGCACCCAACCATCTTCTCTATTGTAACCCTCTCGGAAATGAGGGGGAGGCCTGTGCCCAGCAATGGGACGTATATAGGCTGTAACTCTACTTTTTACTTTTAGAATCCATGGTATAAACATGGTATCTTTTAAATTTCATTCAATTTTAACTAGCAGTTTAAGAATAAGAACTAGTCATAAGAATCTCCGGGAGAAAAACCGGCGACGAGGTTCGCCACCCGTCACGTTCTGTCTCCCGGAGGGGCGAAAAGTGGATGACCAAATTGGCGATATTTTGAAAATGGGCCACGTTAGAAGTAGGTACCCTTAACCGACGAGCATGTATGCGTAGATATATGGATGTAAAGGAGGCGAAAGAGGTATGTCAGGATCGTGCCAAATGGAAGTCCGTAGTCTCTGCCTACCCCTCTGGGTGACAGGCGTGAGTGTTTATGTATGTATTTATGTAACTAGTCAAAGTTTCTTAATTTTGTCACTCACTGACTGACTGACCGACCATCAAAACTCAAAGGTCTTAGTCACACTCACCTCATTCATTGTTTTTTCATGCGTAAACCACCAAAGCATAACATTTTTAATAATTTCTCACATAATTTATTACGCTGCCATTTACAGTAAACCCTAAAATACCTTTATACAGCATAAGAGAAGCGTACATTTTTCTCTAATACACAAGTTCATCGACTTGCTGACTTACCCTACATAAATTCTTATTTTACATATAGTTTTATTTTCCTCCCTTTAATTTTCATATTCCTGTTCATTAATGAAATCATCATTTACAACATACCCGTCAACGAGGAAAATATGACATGAAAGTGTTTGGAAAAGATATTTGATGGTTAACTCGCATATTCTCAACACTCATCCTTCGACTTTCAAACTTTCCAATCAATCGTCTTTAAATAGATTGAATAGCCACGAGGAAGCTACACTAATAAAATTAAAATTCAATATAAAAGATTTTTATTGTCTCTCGAAGCGAACTTTAGCGTTCTGGAGCTGTCAGATACATAAAACATTCCATCTTGACTTCAATATAATAGTCAATAGTATATATATTAGTCGCAAAGTATGTATATTAGTCGCAAAAACATACATTTAAAAAAGTTTAAGCAGTTAATCTGTGTAACCACAAAATAAAAAAAATTGTTTCATAGTACACTTTCTCAACCAACTTACTGATTTCCACCGTCCTGACAAGTGAACGTGTTTACAGATTTTGTAAGGATACTGGTAAATTAAATTATGAATGTGATTGGAATTTTAACAATACACAAGATATGTAAGGGTTTAATAAGTTATTTGGTTTTACTTTTCCGCCTCTTACGGCACCCACGGGACGATATGAGGTCGTGGATATTCTTACACCGACACTACACAGTGTGCACGGGGTACAAACAGGAGCTGGGGAGCAGCATCTTCCTAATAATAACTCAAAATAATAGCCTAGAAATTATGGCAGAATCTCCCTTATGAGGCCATCTATACGAGAAGCCTTTGTTCAGAAATGAACATATTGCAAAACAATACCTCGTTGCTAATATTTTTATTCTCGCTGTCTTCTACTAAAAGCAGTTTTGAAATTTTCGCAACTTGATCTTTCACCGCGCCTAATTCGTTACGTAGAGCTCTTCCTGTATCAAACTTAAGTCCACGCGAAGACTCCACTTCATTTTCTAAATTTTTTAATTTTCTTCGTGCTTGTTCTTCTTTTAACTGCAAATATCATTGTAATTTCTCATTTCTGTTTATAATTACTATAAAATATCGTACATAAATATATTTAAAAAAAATTAAAAAATATATAAGTAGGTAACATGCCGTTACGTTATATACCCAAAATTCTTCACTGTTGCTTTGGAAGACGTTTTCAAATTACTTGACTGGAATAGATACGGCGCTAACACCTACCGAGCTACATCCTAAAAGTTTCATGCCTGGTATTTCTCAAAATCTAAGGTGAAAGTGTAGTTACGGACCTACGGAATTGAAATGTAGTACTTTACTGCTCACCGTAAGAGGAAGTTCAAAATTACTCAACGTATGATGGAAATGATTGTGCTCGGAGTTTCTACGCTGGATGTATTCCGTAACGTGGGAAATTTATTTTAAATTAGTAAGCTGAAATGGCCATATATACTGGCCATTTCAACTTACTTGACGGCGGCGGCCTCGTACCAGAAAGCACAGTCTATCTAGTTAACCGTCCAATAGATGGAGAGACGACATGAAGAAAAACGAAAGTAGTCGTAAGATGCAGATGACTCAGCACCGTATTTGTGGCAATTTATGAGGGAGGTCTATGTTTAGCAGTGGGATTGTAGTACGTTGTAGGCTATGTGTGAAAGTGATAGAGTTAAGATTTTGAAGGAAAATATGCCTAATCTATTTAATGCTACCATAACATATATTATTAATTTTATCAAATTATCACTAACATCATAATCAAAGTAACTTAATTTTCATACCTACAAAAGTAAGATTTTTTTTTTCTTTAACAAATAAGAATTTATTTATATTAGCGACACTAGCGATTGGTACTGATACACGCTGTCGTTTTTCTCTTATTTTTGAAAAGTAAACAGATTCTTATTTCAAAATTTTTCAAAATTGATGACATTAAGTTTTGAATATATATAAAGCAAAAAAATGGTTCAATAATGATCGATAATTATCACTACAACTGAATATGGCCAAGAGGACGATAATCTTCAGCTTCTTCTGCTTTTCTCGTTGTACTGAGAATTCGCCTTAATCGTCACGATAGGTAGTCGGATTGACGGTCGCAATACTGGACGTCTTACATCTTTGACGCTACGTTTTATTGCCATGTACCGGCAGTCTCTTACTTAATCTATCGACAAAATAGGTTGATGAATTATCTAAGCTTACCAACACGCGGTTAAACCAAGGATCTCTTTTTCTAAAAAACTAAAGATCTTTCAAACTTAATATTATATTTCACTTAGTAACAGTTATATATGTGCACATAAAAATATAAATATTCCACTGATTCAGAGAATTCATTTCTGAAAGGGTTTTGAAGCAAGTGTGCTCCTTCGACGGTCAAGTCAACCCATTTGTGGCGCAATCCTGCAACATGACTCTACCACGTAAAATATTATTGAGCCATTTTTCGGATCAGTACATAGCTAATTAATTTACTTCTATCCACTTTCATTATTTTCTTGATTACGTTAAAATTGTTTTTATGCTTTTGTTATTCTATTTGGTATGTATTTAATGGGGAGGGCTAAGCAGCTGTAACACGGGTCTGTGGGCTAGCTCGGTTGCTAAAGATACCCTATTATAGTGTTGAGTTAGATTAAGTCTTGTTAGTATAATTTTATAGGTTTTTGTTTTTATGTATTTTCGGATTCAATAAATATTATTATTGTTCTTATTATAGTCGATCGATGTTGATTGATTGGTGTGGTAGCTTTAGCTGATCGACGGATACTGGTCGACAAAGCGTTGTTCAATCATCGATCGACGTCGTTGTTCAATCATTAATCGATGTGGTTGCGGGTTCATCATCAGTATCTTTTAAAATGTATTCAGAAGAGGACGCATTATTGATTTCCAGTACGCTCTTGCTCGTATTATTATTTTGCAACGCATACGCAAGACTGTAGATGCGACCGTTTTTAAGGTGTAACCTTTAAAACGGGTTTTAAGGCTCGAGATACCTTAAATTTATCTAAACGTCATTTTAAATAACAGTCGCTTGTGTGGGGCTGGTTCTCGAATAATCAAGCAGCACGATCGAAGGCGACTTATCTATTATACCATCGATCGATGCCATTCATTTACCGGTGTGGAAGAAACTATGTATCAACGTCAACTAATCCATTCTAACATCGATCGACAATCGATCAATTGGTGCTAACACCCTTATATATCAAAAAATCAAGCGTGGAAATAGCTGAGAAATACATATGAACCTCCTAGTATATTATATTATATTCATAAATTATAAATCTAAACACCGACTTGTCCAAATAGTTGCCTAATTTAAAATGAAATTCCGGCATAAACCATCATTTGTATAAATAAATAAATAAATCATTGTATAAATAAATAAAAATATAAATCATTTGTATTGTATACTTGTTTTCGGTTCTGTTTGTGTTGTGGTTATTTCCTTATTGGCACTGAACCCTAACTCCTAATCTACTTCTGATCTATATAAGTGTTACATAGGGTGCGGGTATGTTATTAGGCGCATCTGTGTTAACCGTAGTTACCACAGAATACTATAATACATACATAATAGAACGGAGGTGTGGGCGGAGCCCATGTAGTCACTAAAATGCCACAAGACGTCAATTCAAACGTATAAATGTCAACACGAGATATGTTTCGACGTTACAATCGCTTCCAAATTTCGCATGCAAATTATTTAGTAAATGCCAAATTGCACGCTATTTACAAATAAATATGTATTAAAATCCGTCTGTCAACACAGCGAATTGGGTTTGTAGTAGTGATTAACTGATAATACGACGTAATTGCTTGTATGTGTGCTCCCGGCGACGCCAAACCTCGGTACAAAATAAGGTTGATAGCCATTCTATTGTGTATTATAGTATTCTATGGTAGGTACTGTGCTAACACTATTACGTAATTGATTGTTTTCGATAGTACTCGTATTGAATTATACAGCAAGAACCGAAAACATAACATGTATTCAGGTAGCGTGGCACAATTTCCTGCTCCAAAAATCCTCTCAGAAGAAGAAATATTCGCAGCAATTGAACGCAGTGAATTATTATTTCACAGTATACTTTAATTTTACTTAAATATGTAAATACATTGAAATGTTACTACGAATCTATCTTTGTTACGAATAACATTTTTTTATTCACACAAGAAAAACGGGCTCTTCATGACCTCGTTAATAATAATCACGCTATGTATAAATGTCTATTGAATAGTACGCATTATAATTTATAGTGATCAGTTTCGTATTTGTTTTCCTTGTAATTTATAGTAGGTGTTCTACTCGGTATTTAGCCAGCTACAAAAAATGAGAAGGATCTCAATTTAAGTCCAGTTTATGTTTTTTGTATAACCACTATGTTCGATATGTTCGTCAATTGTAAATTGTTCCATAGTTAGACAACAAGGAACCCTTATTTACCCTTAGTTTCGCTGATTGATTTTAGGACTACGCCTAGGGAGTACGATTATCGGAAAAGACGCTTTAGAACCGGTGCTAATTCTGGAGCACACGTCCTTAGCACAATTGGGGGAATCCCATCAGGCCCACTTGAATTGAATGTCAATATTTTGGCCTATTTTTGCATTATAGTGGTCTAACCGTGAACTCACTTGAAATGCTCAATATCAAGAAAACACCAACTAAGTTCACATATCGTGACGAGCAACTACGGAACCCTACCTCTACAATGTGCGTGGCCTGTTAAGCAATTGGCTAGTTTGAATCATTTGAATAGATAGATATAGGTAATATATTTAAACTATTATACGTGGTAGAGGCACGCTGCAGCTATATTATGGTTGTAGCACGAATAGGTCGGCTCGACCGAGGAAGGACCACGCTCTCACAGAACACGAGCGTAAAATAGCAGCTAAATACTGCTATTTCGTGTAGTGAGTGTAGAGATCCGGAGACCCTTTTTAACTGGAATTTAAACATTCCATCCTTTTAACATTTTTAGATAACATTTTCGGTACATAATCGGATCGAACAGGGTTTTCATATTGTATATTATGACAAAAACCATATGAAATATGAGTATGTATTGTAGATCATACGTAAAGCAACCTCTCTACTTACTTGAAGGTCTCTACTGAGTTGTGCGGCGCGACACTGTTGTGCCGCGAGCGAGGCATCAACGCGCGTTACCTCATCAACCAGGTAAAACTTTTTTCGTGCCCGCTCATAAAACTCCTGCTCTATATTTTTCAGATTCTCATGATCCTTTTTTACATCTTCTGCTCGGGCTTCTATTTGTTTTGCCATTACAATACAAGCGTCCTTGTAATCGCTGCGTTCATTTATTAAATTTGTTATCTAAAAAATATATACATCATTATTATTCAAACATAACAATGAAACTTATACATTGAGCTATTATGTACTACATACTAGAGGCGAAACTGCATTCAGCTACTCTGTTCCACTTAACTGCGGTGCATACACCGCACTTTAATCAGTCACTCGCTAGGCGCTTGTAGAGTTGTCACGTGTTATGTTGATTTAAAATAAATCTCTTGATAAAAATATGCCGTCGTGTGTACTTAGATATTGCACAAATAATTCAAGAAATGTCAGTAAAATCCAAGGAATTACTTTTCATCGGTTAATAAGATACTTAATCAATAAAAGAGTATTGTAAATTAATAATGAAACAAATTATTCCTCAATAATTATTGAAGACGCCATCTCGTGTCATGGAATATAGATTATGAAATTGATATGTTCAGATGCGACATTTCTGTGGGTACTTAAGTATAGGACGAATATATTATTATACACATTTTTTGTAGAAACATATATAAGTTATTATAATTAGGTTAAATATTTCATATTTAAATCTGCTTATTATTTTTTTATTTTATTTTTAGGTTTCCACATCAAAGTCAAAGTGAAATAAATTCCTCCATTTTTAACCCCCGCGTGCCCGTCATTTATGAACGACTCTTATTCTAATTTAAATAAATATATTTGTAATTTAAATGTTATGTTAATAAGTTTTGTTAAACATACATTTAGTATGTTTTTTTATATTTGACATAGATACCTTTAAAAATATTCAGATAAAAATATCATTAAAATGTAATTGTGATATAATATTATGTAATATTGTATTAAATAAGCAAATATAATGTACAAAATAAATGACACAATATAAATATTGTTCTCGATATAATTTACCTATTTAACAATACAATCTACTATTACCTACAGATCATTCTACCTATGTTTATTCTGTGATAAAAAAACCAACCGCGCGAACACAGAGTAGCGCACATTTTTTGTTTGAAATAGCTGTTCTAGTACGTAAGTACATATTACTTCAATGAACTTATATGACATAATGCCCATTACGCTCTTTTCAACTGAAAATAAATAGCAACATTACCTTAGGTTTTAAAGGTACGGATTTTTTGCATTACATCCACGAGACGATATAGTCTAGTAGATTCTCTAAAGCCGCCAATACACCATATGGGTAGTGGGTTTTCTTACGCCACTGCTATACGGCGGCATCTGTGTGCCGATTCAACAAATTAAGGAAAACTTCTAGGTGAGTTTGCAGTTGCCCCCAGTAATTATCATCATCATCAGCCTGCGGAAGTCCACTTCTGGATGTAGGCCTCTCCAAAAGCGCGCCACCTAGCCTGATCTTCGGCTACAGGTATCCAGTTGCTGGCAGCCGTCACTCTAGCCACGGAGCGTTCCACACAACGTTTACCTAAACGCGGCCTCCACTGTGTAATACGCCTACTCTAACGGTTATCACTTGGTGCTTACCATTGGGAGGTAATGCCCCTAATCGCCACGCTGGGCAAGCGGGTTGGCGATTGCAGTGTCAGACACGTCGCACCTGTGACGCTGCAGCCCATCACAGATCTGGATATTTTTGGCCAGAGATAAGAATTGAGATGGTTACTCTGCCATCTATCGGATGTTTATGCTTTTTTTAATTTGTAGTTGCCTCAGGAAGAGAGGGGTTGCAGGATTCTAAAGAAGCGGCCACACGACAGTAAAGCAAGTGTAAATTTAAAGTCTGTGTTAAAGCAAGTTAAAAAAAAGTTACAGCCTATGTACGTCCCACTCCTGGACGCAGGCCTCCTCTTCTTTCTGAGAGGGTTTAGGGCAAGGAATAGTCCGCCACCCCGCCCCAATGCGTGTTGGCGAACTTCACATGTTTTCGAAAAAAAAATTTCTTATTTTTCAGACATGCAGGTTTTCTTACGATGTTTTCCTTCACCGCCGAGCACGTGGTAAATCAGCACTTAAAATTGTAATTAACAATTTCATTGGTGCCGGCGGGGATTACCGGCTTCTAGATGTCTATGAGCCACAGTATACACTTACCATCAGGTTTTTTATAGAATAAGGGTGACGAACGAGCACACTGTCCATCTGATCGTAAGTGGATATTTACCATCAGGTGGACTGTGTGCTCGTGTGTCAACCTTAATCTATTTAAAAAAAATTGCGCGTTTAAATTCATCATTATTGACTTAAAAATAAATCTATTTAAGAATCCGATCGTGCAGAAGGCTCGTTATCAAGGTGTAAGTTTTCATAACTGAGGCGATCGAACTAAGAGGTGGATTAGTGACCGCGATCGCTGTAGGTAATTTGACTGTATCGTTGTTCTAGTGGATGTGTGCACGACTGTGGAATATGTGGTTTGAATCTCGTGTCAAGTCTAAAACCATTTATTGGGTTTTTCTTTCAAGAAATTCTCAGCCCAATATCCACAATCTAATAGCTGGCGATATTTCACCCACATACTTGGGAAAGCACGTAAAAATCTGGTCTCTAACTGATCTTATCAGTTTGCCATCCTCCAGGACTATGGGAGTGCGGTAATAAAGAGTAAGACATGTGCAAGACACACTCGTGCAATATAATCCTGTGTTGCGAAGATAGCAGGTCCCCATTTTGATTATTGCTGCGACCGAAATTACGAAAATTCAATAATTCAAAAAATCTCCGCTTCTCTGTAGAGAATTAATACTCATAATACAAAACATGGCACGATTATGCTACTATATTTCACTGTGTTCTATGTACGCTATTTCCCCGGTCGAGCCGACCTATTCGTGCTGCAGTTATAATGAAGATGCAGCGTGGCTCTACCATGAAAACTATTAAATTTAAAATATAATTCAGTAACTGACAGTAGACTATTGGGGCTGGGCGCGAACCGCGAACTCATCTTGCTGATTGTTTTCAGAATAGAGGTTATCTGAACCAGTAGTAAAATAAAAATATTTTTTTAATAAGAATTACATGTAATCTATAAAAAGATATTCTATTTTATTCTTTATTCTATTCTATTCTATCGCTAAATTACTATTGTCTGCCTTAACGAAGCGACCACCTCATTCCCAGGGGTTATTATCAACCATGTATTCATTTATATTATAATAACCCCTTTTATATAGTTTTTTATTAATTAAATATTTAAACTTGGTAATAGAGAGACTTTGTATATTTTCTGGGACTTTGTTGTAACAGCGTATATATTGTCCCAAGAATGAATTACCGATTCTGCGGAGTCGAGAAACTGATAGCACCAACTTGTGTTTAAATTAACTAATGTACATGAAGTGATTGATACCTGTTTCGTAAGATCGTCCTGTTGTTCTTCGGCATGCGCGAGACGGCGATTATAGCCCATTTCAAGATCCTTCCACGCAGCCTCTGCGCGTTCTAACAAATCTAAGCGTTCAGCTTCCCTCTTTGCCAGTTGCCCAACACGTTTCCGCAGCTCTGAAGTTGCTGAATCCAACTCAGTCAAACGCTCTACACAAGCGGACTCCAAACAACATACCTAAGGAATTAAATATATTTATATAATTACTAAATATCATTAAACATTCATATTAATAATTAAAATAATATAATAATATTACAATAATTCTCGTTATGATGGCTAGTCAATTCTAGTAAAGCATCTTTAAATCACGTATCTGTGTTCGCTTGCACCGTTTGTTTTTGTTTGCACGGGCAATCTTCAATCCTGTTATGATGGTAAAATTACTACCCGCACTATTTATATATTTTTGTAACATAAAATATTTGTGTACTTTGCCTGGCACGCTCGGTGATGCTCGGTGACTTACTACCTAACATTCATTATGTATTTTGTTTTTAATGTATTTCTCATTTAAGTAATTTTTTGTAAATTCTTATGAGAATAAGTGTCTTTGATTCCAAATATAACCTTAAAATAACTTTCAACTTTTTTTATATAACGGTGACAAATGAGCACATAGTCCACCAGATGGTAAGTGGAAGCTGCAGTCTTTAGACATGGACATCTATTCTCGATTAAGAATCAAAATACAGAAATGCATTATCAGACCTGTGGATTTTAATGGAACGTCTCGTTACCAGTAATAAACTCACTAAAGCACAGCATCTTTACGATGCTATTTTAAGATAGTAAGTACATATACTCTGAAAGAGTAATTCCTCTATCGAATTGACTCATTCTCGCTGCAATAATACGTTACAGCGTCTCTCTACCACGTAAAAATTATTATTCATAAAATAAATTGAAATAAATAAATTTTTAGAATTATTTATTGTATATAAATAATAAAAAAATATAATCTTAATACACAATAATATCTGGTATGTATGACAGTTTCCTGTAAGAGAATTTGACACATCAAAGGCAGAAACGTTTCATTCAATGTTTTGTATTCACATAAATATAATAAAAACTTACTTGTTAATAACAGTTATCAACACGTTCCCTGTTCGCATATAAAATCATGATTACACTCACATGTCCACTTTAGATTTCGGTTATAATAGTTTAATATAGACCCCAGTAATACAGTTTAGATGTTATTTATTTTTAATTTCTTTTGGGTTTTTTTAATAGGCCAAAAACCCAATGAGGTCAACCCCGACCTCATGGACGTGTGAGTATGAAATTATGTTATGTTAATATATATAAATATTTATAGCAAGGGTCGTGATGTAAGAGTGACCTCATGAACGTGGCAGTAGAAGTCTCTAATGAGGTCAAGGTTTACCTCATGGACAGGGAACGTGTTAAGGAATCAGTAACACTTAACGAACAAACAATATTTGTACCTAGATTTTTTAATTATAGTAAATATAAAGTTACAGGCTATATACGTCCCACGGTTAGCAACAGAAATATTCGCCGTGCTGCCCCAATGCATGATGGCGAAGAAAATTATGTGTCTTCGAATTTTTTTTCTTTCTCAGATTTGCAGGTTTCCTCGCGATGTTATCCATTGCCTCCTAGGCAAAACTGCTAAAATTAAAATTGCAATTATTGTTAATTGCAATTTTAATTTTAGCAGTTTTGCCATTTTCATTGCTGTCCGCCAGTATTAAACCCAACCCGTGTTACTACTACATCTCTCTATCTCTATATATATACTATATACACAGTTCACAGCTGCCGCACATTCCTTATGCAACACGTGTAAGGGCAAACCGTTTCACTATTTATAAGCATTTTCATTTATTACAACTTGGGACGAAACACACACGTGCTGTACACGTCAACATGCGTTTTCCGATCATGATATTATCAGTGTTTAAAACTAATTAAAAATTATGCAGACATTACTAATTAAAATTTCATTCATATTTTTTCTCTACATACTTGTTACCTATAATTGTATAAACTCAAGAAGTATATAGCGAGAATAATATCAATGAATAACTTGCGTAGTTGTCCTGACTCAAGCCAATCATTAGAAATAATATTAATAAGGCTAAAACAATACGCGGATAAAAAGTAATTATGATACTCGTAAAGTGGACAAGTGCGATTTACATCAACGTCGTTTAAGTTTACCTGTTCATTCGTTAATTCTATTAAATAGATGAAGCCTCACAACGTATGGCCTTCGAAGCATGCAACAACTAAGTCTAGATATTCCTGATAAATAAAATACTCAATCGTTCGTTCAAGTTCAATTGAACAGACATATTTAATTGTTGTTATTTATGTGGTATAATTCTTACGATCATAAATTAAGTGAGATATAATAAATAAATTATGCACTAAGCCCACAACATTATATAACATGTAAGACAGTTCGGAAATGAAAACGATTATTTAACACTAACAATTTTTCTTTTTAAAATCTAAACTAAAACCATCTCCCGTGCGGTGGCTGTGGGTTTAGCAAGAGACGACTATAGGAAATGCCAGAAAAATCATACGGATTCCGGCAGACGGCAGCATAACTACCTCTTTACGCTAAGCGTAAAATAGGCAGGCAAGTGGCAGAGATTGTAGCGTTAAAAGTGTGAAAAGTCTGGTATTGCGACTGTTAATTCGCCTGTCAACTGTCACAATTAAGGCTTAACGATTATGATTAAGAAAACGTTTTTATGTGTACTACAGCTTAGCTGCAGCTATAGCACGAATGTGACAGCCCGACGGAGGATGAACCGCGCTCTCATAGGAAACCAGCTTAAAATAGCAGCATAATGCTCTTTTGTTTGATATAATGAGTGTAGAACCATGGATCCTTCCTTAAAAATTTCATCCTCAGTATGAAGATGGAATGCTTAAGGATAAAGATGGTGACAACCTATCTGCACTTTTATTCTTAATCAAGAACAAATGTACATGTCTATGATATACTTCTTTTTTTTATATATATATAGAAGAAGGGGCAAACGAGCATGCGGCTCACCTGATGTTAAGTGACTACCGCCGCCCATGATCAACCGCAACACCAGGAGAATTGCGGGTGCGTTGCCGGCCCTTTAGAAAGGAGTAAGCTCTTTTCTTGAAGGTCCCCAGGTCGTATCGGTCCGGAAAAATCGCCGGTGGTAAACTATTCCACAGAGAGGTTGTACGTGGAAGAAAACTCCTTGTGAAACGTACAGTGGTGGACCGCCAAGCATCCAGATGGTGTGGATGGTATCGGGACGTTTGACGTGTAGTGCGTTCACGAAATTAATAATTCTTTAATTATAAATTTAATTATTAATATTCTTACTAAAAGTGTATAGTGGACGCAATTCACATAATTGAGCCGAGCATGGATATCAATCTATAGGAAAACTGTCCTGGGCGTTAATCCTTTACAAACTAGCCCTCTCCTCCTTGTCTAAATATAGATCAAGGGGCGTTGGGCATGGAAGTGTATTAAGAGCCGCTCTAGGCGATGATCGCATCGCTCCAGTTGCCATTAAGCGGGCAGTCCTTTGTAGACAATTTAGTCTGTCCACAGTCGTCTTTTGTTTGGCTTTGTAACACCAGACAGTGGAGGCGTAGGTAAGAATTGGCCTCACTTTACTGCTGTACAGCCATAGAATCATACTGGGACGCAAGGCGGACGCAAGAGGTGAGCAGCCTCTTGTAGTTGCAACCTCAATCGATGTTTAAAACAGCGCTATTTTTTCTTTTCTGTTTGAAAGCATCGACTTCACCCACCTGATGTTTGTGGGGTCAATATTTTAGATATCAGACCTCCAATCAACAGTAATGTGGAGCTACTGTCGAAGGCGCCGTCAATATCTAGAAAGGCATAAAGAGCTATTTCTTTATCCTCCAGTGCTTTTTTAACCCTGTCAATAACAACGATCAGGGCCGTTTCCATAGATTTTCCTCTGCGATAAGCATGCTTGTTGTAATGTATGGGCCTCGTAGCTAGAGCTACATCACTTATATATCCCTTCTCACTTATACATCGATCCTTATAGATCGATAACCTTTTCTTAAGAAGAAAGGAAGACAGGAAAAAGACTTGAGAGCAAGTTTCTTTACCAAAGTCCTCTAGACCTATAGGTCTAAAGGACTTTGGTAAAGCGGAGTTCTTTCTACCAGCCTTATGTATAAAAAGAACTTTGACAATTGTCCATCGTTCTGGAATATATATTCCAGAACGATGGACAATTGTCAAAGTTCTCCCCCCCCCCATCCCCATCCCCATGCAAAACTTGCTCTCAAGATTTTCTCCAGATAAGGAAGAAGGATATCGATACCCCTCTGTAGTTGGCTTAAAGGAGTCAACAGTCCACTGTACCAGGTTTGCCTTTATTATCCTTGCAGCTCCATAAACTGTCCTCATTACAAGGCCTTTGTAGGGCTCTGACAGAACTCAAGGCAAAAGTCTTATGCGACCTTGAGAAATGGATTGACGCTAGTAACTACTTACTATGTTTCTGTTTCTATATTCGGTTAGGACAGCACTATAAATATCACACTCTTTGTTTTTTTTTAGTCTATCGAATAGTTTCCTGGTATTTTTCTAGGTTTTTTAAAGCTAAGTGTGTAGGAACGTTTCGTATTGAGGTCTTGGTTTCGGCGGAATAACTATCCTCGAAGGCTTCACGGATACCTACGGTTAATGTTTCCGTCGCTAACTCCAGACCTTCAAAACGTTTCTAATCTCGGTAGACATCCCAGGAGGTCGCTTTTGGATCCATAAAAGCCATAGTTTCATAAGTTGGTGATGCTCCAATAACACAATGTGTTTGTGTTTTGATATCTTTTCACTACCAACATGCCAGTCAATTATCCGCCTGGATATGTTATTGGTAGCAAAGGTTATGTCTAACACTTCTTGACTTGCACGCGTTACGAAGGTTGATGTACACCCTAAGTTTATGCTTACAAGGCGGTTGGAGATGAGAGTCATAAAGTAACTCACCTCTATCGTTGATGTTAGTGCTTCCCCAGGCTTTATGGTAAGCATTAGCATCACAACCCACCACAAGTTCGGCAATGTGTTTTCGAGCGAACTCCACCCCTATGGTAGGATCTGAGTTCTCTCCGGAAATATAGACTGAGCAAATGATTACTCTGGCCTCTGCGCATCGTTTAAGATTTATGAGGGCTGTAACCAGGCATCGTTTCTGTACTCTAAAACAAGAGTTCGATGTTTTTATTGTAAATTATACAAGCCTTGTATATATATGTAAGCCTGCCTTTAATATTAACTAAGCCCTCAGACCGAGGTGAAATCAGCGTCTTGGGTCACATTCACTCTCGCTGATGACGTTCCAATCTCACCCTGAGAAGTGAAGAGGATTCGAGTTGAGGCAGTTCAGACTACTTTACCGCGTCACAATCTCCCTTGACTTTAAAAGTTATAATTTTAAATTCAAGGACGACCCTGCCGCCTGCCGCCCAGAGAGCCTCCGCCGATTAGTCGTCCAGCAAAAAGGTTACTAGGAACCCATTCTTCTCGTCCCTACGGTGGAGGATTTTCCACAGCTTGGTATGGAGCCCTTCATTTTCATCAACAGCACAGCCGCCTCCTCTGGGGAGTCGGCTTCGCTGCGGGGCAGATAGGTGATACCATATAATACATAATACACAATAAAATCGCTGTCAGCCTTATTTTGTACGAGAATCGGTGTCACCGGGAGCACACATAAAAGCAATTACGTCATCATATCAATACTACAAACCCGATTCACTGTATTGACAGACTAATCAAAAGTCTAAAATGTGTAAATTCGCTCAATGTTTTTGACACATCAATATTTCCTTATTTTTCTAATATTTACAAAATTTAAATAGTTTCGACTTACTGGTGGTAGGATATGTCTCCTTTATATAAATTCCATTTCCCGCTGTTCTTTCGACACGTAATTATTGCACAATTTGCCATTTTTTTAAATAATTTGACGCTTGACACGAAAATTGAAAACGATTGCTTGTGTTGACATTTATAGGTGTGAATTGACATGTGACACCAATTCCAAGAAATTTGCCGAGTTATGGGTACTCATACAACAAGTACAACTTCTCAACACCCACAATCTGATGGAATGCTAGGATGATTTAATCAGACATTGGAGCTGACATTTATGAGCACGTCAGACAGTCGGGCCAGCAAACCTCTGAAAAGATGAAAACCCGGTATGACCGCAAAATGAACTACAAAGGGTTCAACGAAAGGTCACTAGTGTGGTTGCACAATCCAGTTCGTAGCAAAGGGAAATCTCCATAACTTCAAGTTTAATTAGAGGAACTGTACCAGATTGTGACAAAGATCAAGTCAACTTACCGGATACAGAAAGGTGCAAGAGGTACTCCTAAGATTATCCATTTGGATCGACTGGCACATTATTAAGGGGCCGATAATGCTCGGGACGAGCATGTCTTAGGAGGGGGCACTGTCGCGCGCCATAATTAATGTCTGGTACGTGGCGAGTAGCAACTCGTGCCATCTAGTATTGAGTAGCAGAACTGGGAGAGCTTTCTATAAAATTCCGTACTAGAACTTTCTACACCTAGTCAGTCGGGACCGGTACATACTCGAACATTCTAGATGTTTGAGTAGAAGAGGCCATATATAAGAAGAGTAATGACTACGACCGACTCAGTATAAAATTGGCGATTCAAGCGAATACTTTGAAGCAATATAACTGCGAACTTAAGTGATCAGTGTAATTGGTGTGCTTTAAGTTGTAATTGGTGTTCGGTAATTAAAATGTCAGTTTTGGTAATTCAATCGGCAGTTTTTATTGTCACGAACCCCAAGCTCGTAACAATATATTTCGTTAAATTATATCTGAACTAACCGCGTTTATTTTGTTCTTTATATCACTACTTTGAGTCTTCTGCGACGTTTTTATTGTAATGCGTGGGTTTGGTGTATGTTCCAGTCGCATTACAATTTTCGTTTCACCTGGCAATTTTATAACAGGACCGACCAGAGACCGGGTGTCTGAGTTCACAGCATCAACTACATTGGAATAATGAGATTCCTTTAGATTGGTTAGCATTTTTGGCTCACAGGCAACATCGGTGGTTCTGACAAGAAGTATATCTTCACTAGTGAATGTTTCGCCTTTTTCAACCATGTCTTTACTTAACATTTTAAGTACATATCTGAAATTACAAATTTATTAAAAGAATATTTTCATGTTGCAAAATAATTTTAAGACACAAAACTAATTATTGTTGAACACACATAATAACATAATATAATTAAATAAGCAGATTTTTTCAGTCCACCTGACGGTAAGTTGATGATGTGGCCTATAGACGTCTACATCCATCTTAGATTGAGAAATAAAAGCAGTTATGTTGTCAAACTATGGAATTGGATGGAATGCCTCGTTTTAATTTATAAGGGTTTTCAGTTCTCCGCACTCACCATATGAAACACAGCAGCATTATGCAGCTATTTTATGCTGGTTTTCGATAAAAACGTGGTCCTTTCCTGGTCGAGCAGACCCATTTGTGCAACAACCATTATATGGTTGCAGAATACTATCTATCTTCCATGTACGTTATAGGGTATAAAAATGTCCTCCAGACAGAAATTTTAATACGGTTCCAAATCTTAACAGTAATTGGCTATCTACGAAGGACAGGATTATAATGTATAAATGTGTGAGCAAGCACAGGAGTACTATTATAACCACAACACCATAGGACGAAGCCACGCCGACACGACCAGAGAAAAATCAGGAGCAGGACCAACGATTTTCCGAGGCATGAAGATGAAACAACGCCAATTTTCCAACTCCGGATTGATACTGAAAATTTCTTAACAGAAAACCGGGTGACTTATTTTGACACACCCGGGGATTCAAACCAGGCATCAGCAGCCAATAGTCACGGTCACAACCGTTATAACAGCTGCGTAATGCTGCTGTCTACCAACGAGGCAGTCAAATACATATAAAAACAATTAGCTATATATTATAGTTATCTCTGTAATGAGCCACAATGACTTGATTATTCACCGAACTGCTACGAACTAGACCTACTGCTTCTATCCTTAACCGTAACATAATTTCTAAGGTAAAAAAAGTTATCGAAAACGCATAATAATTCACTATAAATAGACGCGTCTCATCCTCGGGCTAGTTACTAATGGCATTTAAGTTAATTGGAACTACAAATGAGCCCGCATCAATTTCAGAAGCTTCAACTGATATTATAATTACAAAATAATGATTTAGCGGTATTTAAGGACGTAATGACATACATTTGTAGAGCATTTGTAAAGATTTTATAAAATGAAAAAATACGTACTCATAAAGGCTGTTTGTTTCTTCATGAACTAATTGCTTCCAGGCAAGAATAGCGCAGGCTAGATGTCGTTCCTTAGCGCCATGTGAAATCATTGTATCAATATTCCAAGACCCACTTTCCAGGCGCTCTTGCATTGCCTTTATCTCCAACTGGTAAAAACATGTGAATGATGTAGCTGGCTATCGACATGACAAGTCTTAGGCGAATATTCATAGACAATCTCAAGCCTGAATTCATATTTGGTATGTCAAAAGTCTAGTCCGTACTATTACTACGTTAAAATTTTTGACAAAGTGAATTTTAAGTTCAAACTCGGGATTATCTGGAAAACGGCATTTGTAACGGCTAACCTATATATTATGTCCCATATCTGGGCTCAATCTTTCTATTATTGCGCTACTTAAATATCGAGGCCAAAAACTCGATCATCTTTGGTGCTAGATATCCATGTGAAGACATTTTCTGTTGTACAAATAAACGTTATGTTTATTATAACCATTTCCAACCTGCGTAATTTAACTTATACGATAATCTTATATGTTATATCGACAATCCATCCGCCAAGCGTAGCGATTAGAGTTTATTCTCCCTTGAACATAAATTCCTATCCCTCCCTATCTTAAGTATTATAAATTATAATTCATATTAAGCCTTTGACATTGCATTTAAAACGTAACCGGCGGCAGTTTAAGTGTAGTGAAAGACCCGCCAAAATCTGTCTAGCAAATTTTGGGGATTTGGGGAATAGCCGGAACAAGCAGACAGACAAATATTTTTTTTAAATTGTGTTTTTGTTATAAGTACCGTACTATATACTTTCATATGCAATTAGTAAAAAGTTATTACTTTGACATTACAAACAAACATCTCAATTTTATTTATTTTTATAGATATACATAATATTTTTTTTCACTACAAATATAGTATAATTTTTATACGAGGCAGAGCCATGCTGCAGGTACATTGCAGTTGTAATACGAATGTGTCGGTTCGATCTCCAGATCGACCAAGGACAGTGCTCTCACAAGAATACCAGCGTAAAATAGCAACTTAATGCTGCTGTGTTTTGTATGGTAAGTGTAAAGAACCGGAGGTATATTTTAAAAACCCAAGTTTTAATGACTTTGTATCAAAATATATGACATCTTTTATTGCGTTGACTTAAGAGCGTGATTTTTTTAAATTCCAAGAGACTTGCAAATGCGTTGCCGGCCGTAACTAGTTTGTAATATATAATTGATATGAAGAAGAAATAGAGCAGGTCCTAGCACGCAGCCTCGTGTAATACCAGCATTCACAAGCATGAATGCTGGGTAGGCATCGTCGATTACGATCTCAACTCTCTTCCCCTTGGTTAAGCCGTATGAGCTGGCAATTATAAATGAATAAAATTAAAATACAATACATTAAATAAATGGAGACGTCACCTCTAGGTCGATATTTGGAGTTTTAGTCAATAACTTTGAAATATTCCAAGCAATAAGCGACTTCATTGATTTATTTTTCTCATCAGCAAATCCAATTTCACAATTTTCTCTGCTGATGACATGTTTGCGTAACTTCACAGATGTATTAAAAATTTGAGTCTTAGTTAAAGATATATGAAAATTAAATAAGAGTTGATGATTCTAACTAAAAATATGCTTATACCTACAACAATAAGCTGTCACTTTAATTATTTATAATATCCGTATTACTATTTTTATGTATATTTCTATTAACATAAATATGAAGCAGATGAAGGTTCAACACAAAACATATGGTGACATTAAGCCAAGCTTACTTTAATGTATACGAAGATGTAGATGCAGTAGATAGATTGTTGTGGAGTCAAATCTCCACACAAACGAACGAACGAAATGAACGAACAGACAAGTAACAAAAAAAAATTACAAGAATAATAAATAATTCCTGCTTACCTTTGTATGTGCACTTTCGTTGTTCATATTATTATAATTTTAAGTGTACAGTCAAATTATTTTTACTCTTTTAGATAATTTATTGTTTTTTATACTTTTATGTATCTTTAAATCATATTTGAGTCACCATAGATTTTTAAAACCATGCTTAAATCTGCTACTTGAATTTTTTTGACACTAAAGAAATGAGTCAAGTGTCAAATTCTTCTTTCTTAATATTTCTCTGGTGTATAATGTATTATCTATGTTTTAGTACCTATGTTAATCAATAAGTTTAAGACCAAAGAGTTATGGAAATTCGTACTATTTTTTACTATTAGATTAAAGACCCGTAAATGCCAGACCTTCCTTATTTTATAAAAGCTAAAAGTTCAAAGTCGCTCAACGCATGCTCCTAGCATAGGTAGGAACGAAGGGCTACTATGAAGTTTGGATCTCGTGGCTTCGGCAGGTAACAGGTAGCAAAAGTTTATAATATAGCAACTTAAATTTGTCAAATTATAAAGCGTAAGTATAGTAACAATTTATTAAAGTTTAAGAATGTCTGGCAAGAGGTTGCTACGATACTGTCTGGCATCGGGTGACGTGATTTCTAATATTATTCAGAGGAAATTATAAGAAAATTACGCTTTTGAGCAGAAATTTGTAGCAATTTTCAGCTTTTATAAAATAAGAAAGGTCTAGCCATTACGGACTCGTTCTTTATAGCCAAGGCCGGAGAAATCTAAATCCTATACCTTTAAACGAGCAATTCTTGTATATATATATATATATATATATATATATATATATATATATATATATATATATATATTAGGATTTATTTTTAGATAATGCCCCTTTGTCCATGTTTTCAAGGAATAAAAAAACTGCTACAATATATAAGTACGTAAATTTTGACAATTTATTGACAACCGTAATAGCTCTAATGGGATGTCGTTCTGGCGCGGTATCGGTGTTCCGTGGTTCGCGTCCCGTTTGGAGTCTGACTTTTTTTCCTTTTTTTTCAAGTTCCCTTCTTTTGTGAGAAAATCTATTATTTCGAGCGCTTTTTTAGTATTTTTTAAAACTACGAAAATTTTAATTAATCTAAATGCACTCATGATTTTTTATTCAAATAACTAGTTCAGTTTTTTCTATTACCTATGTCAATAAGGTCAAAAACTATTATTCATGTAATTTGTATATAAATGTAACTTAAAAAAACCGAGCAAAGCTCGGTCTTCCGGGTGCTAAATAATTATACCCGATTTCTTTTTTCTAAACCTCACATTTTGCGGGATATCGATTCGTATGCAAAATGGAGAAACTCGAACTTCGTGCTGTTATTAAATATTTCTGCCTTATTTTTTTCCTCAAAAAGTGTTCTTGAAGAACTGCAGTCTACTTTGGCAGACAATGTTCTGTCTTATCGTACAGTCGTATGACGACACTCACTCGGAAGGCCAACAAAAATAGTTTAGATGGTTAAAAAAATTAAGAAATTTTTTTAACCATTCGTTCTTTAGCTGAGAATCTAAAGCTTTCTTTCAGGATAATTCAGTTTATATTAACTCATACTTAAAAATTCAAAGAGGTGACCGCGTGCTGTGTTTCTCGAATATTAACAGAAGCCCAAAAGTATAAAAAATAAGGAAGCAATAGTAGACATTTCAAAACTAAAATTAGCAATAATTGAAGAAGATCCAGATTCTTTTTGCGCTCGTTTCGTAACCGTAGATGAAATGTGGGTACATCATTTTGACCTGAAGACGAAAAATAAAAGCAAGGTGTGAAAAAGACGAAGAAAGTGTCAAAGAGATTCAAGGTGTCTGCGTCCGCTGGAAAAATAACGGCCTTTGTCTTCTGGGAAGCGGAAGGTATAATAATGATCAACTATTTTAATAAAGGACAGACAATAACCGGAAACTATTACGTATCATTAATCAAAAAACTACGCAAAGAACTAAAGAATAAACGTCGAATAAAATTGCGTGCTGGAGTGCTTTTTCAACATAATATTTCGCCTGCCCATCGATCTGATTTTACAGGCGCTGGCATCCCAACTGCTGAATTTCAATTCATATAGCACCTACCATATTTTCCGGACCCAGCTCTGAATGATTTTCACCTTTCTATTCACCTGAAAAAGTACATGAGTGGTATACAATTCAACATCGACGGTGAGGTTATGTATGCTGTAGAGGTATTTTTCGAGTCCCTGGATCGAGCCTTTCTTTTAAGAGAATTAACCAACTTTTACTATTCAAGGTATATATGTTAAAAAGGCGAATATGTTGAAAAAAAAAACAATTTATATATACTTATCCTAGAGTTTTATTGCGTTACCATATCTGAAACATTACGCGTTTAGCTGGACAATGTCATCTTAAAGAATAGTGTGGATTAGGCCTTCTGGGGTTGCCACGATAAAAAAGGTGCCACTTACTCTACCTCATTGTGAAAATGAGTATTTTTGGCCAACACGCATGAAGTAGACTTTGCGGCACTCATATGTTTAAACTATTGATTTTACAAAAAAAATTATCACATAAATGACCGGAAATTTTCTCCAGTTTAAATTATTATTTACGTGGGTGGTCTGAACAGTTTCTGACCTAATAAAGATACAAGATGTTTTTCTTAAAATTTATTTTTATTTTTCCGCATAGTCTTCTTGTAACTCTACGCACTTAGACTGTATCGGTATGATGGTATCACTCCAACAGAAAGTACTGCAATGTAGTGATGTACGCCACAACTTTAGCTATCGATAAGCTAATTAACCCATTCGAGTTTGTCTGCTGAACAGGATTTTATTTTCGGTTTAGATTTTACAATAAAGTATTACACAAAATAGTAATTTTTTCTATTATTGGTTTAATAATAATAATAAATAAAAATATTTTTACATAAATTATAACCGGGAATGAGGTGTGTGTGTGTGTGTGTGTGTGTGTGTGTGTGTGTGTGTGTATGGTATGTGTGTGTGTGTGTGTGTGTGTGTGTGTGTGTGTGTGTGTGTGTGTGTGTGTGTGTGTGTAAATAAATTACATTATTTCATATTGCTTAAAAGAGATAAATAGCCATTCGGTTAAAACATATTTGCAATTATGGTAGTTAAGGTGAAGAATTTTTATACTTTTATTAATGGCTTTGTATTAAGTCGCTGACTGTTTTACATATTGCCTTCTAGCTAAAACATTTTTAACAGCGATAGGTGTAGCCACTACGTT